TATCGATGATTTTCCAATTTTAATGGCAAAATGCCGTGTTTTTTGCTGCGCACTAGACTTGAAAATTGCGCTATATACTCTGGTTGACAGCGTTTGGGCTGTGAATGAGTCTTCTGCAATCGGTATCGCCCGACTGCAACGTTCTTACTTGTTTTATATAATTCGATATATCTTTTGTCATTTTATTCCAGTGATAATGCCTTTTTATTTTGGCTATCGTTCTGGCTATTCCAGTATGACCTCCTTGTATTGGGTCGTCATGGAACGTAGACAGTATTGCTTTTTTTTCTTTATTATTATCGTTTGATAATAGGGTCACCGGCTTGAGTAGCGCTACTCTTAAAGATTTTAAATATTTATTGCCCATTAATTTAAAAGATTCTATTGAGATAATCTCAAAGATCTTTTCGCTCGGTGCCACTTTGAGTTTGCTAATATTAAGTATACCGGCTTCTGATTCAAGCCTTTGAAAGAACTGACCTAAGTCAAAAGTTTCATTGGTGTACATATTGCTAACATCAATTCTTGCGATAACACTCTTTCCTTGTTTTAATAAACATAAAGAATTTGTTATTCGCTTTTTCGTACTTCGTATACGTTGGGCTTAGAAGCATTTGGAGTCTGCTTTGCAAGACCTCCTTTTCTTTTTCTTTTCCTGCGCAGGAATTTAACTGTTTACTTTGATTTCTGGTAGTGACTTTCAGAATTTTATTATTTGTCTGTATATTTTTTAAGTCTTTTATCGTTATTCTAGATAGCGCATCGGCTACGTAGTTGTCTTTTCCCTTTAGAAATTCTACCGTAAAATTATATTCCTCTAGTTCAAGTCTTATTCTGGTGAGTTTGGAGCTCGGATTTGTCATTGAAAATAGATATGTGAGTGGCCTGTGATCTGTTTTGACAGTGAAGTGTCTACCATAAATGTATGGCCTGAAGTACGTTATTGCCCAATGTATGGCTGTTAGTTCCTGTTCTATTGTGCTTTTATTACTTTCTCCTTTAGTAAAAGATCTTGATGCGTATGCTACCGGGAGTTGAAGTCCATCTTTGTTTTGTGTAAGGACTGCTCCACAAGCTTGCTTACTGGCATCCGTTATAATGCAAAATTCTTTGCTGAAGTCTGGGTATTGGAGGAGTGTTGGATTCATTAATGCCGATTTTAGATGCTCGAAGGCGTTTTGGCAATCTGCCGTCCATTCGAATTTGACATCTTTTTTGCATAACTTTGTTATGTGACGAGAATAGTCGGCGAAGTTTTTAATGAATCGTCTGTAGTAATTACAAAAAGCTATAAATCTTCTGGCGCTGTCCGCATCATGTGGGACTGGATAATTTTGAATGACGTCGTATTTTTTGTCGTCGGGTACGATTCCTTTATCTGTGCATTTATGTCCTAAGAAAGTGACTTCATGCATAAAAAATGAACATTTTTCTGGATGTAACTTTAGGTTGTGCTGCCTACATTTCTCAAAAACATCAGTTAAGTTTTTGAGCATATGTTTTTCGGAGCAACCAATGACTATTAAGTCATCCATATAAAGGAATGCTTGAGAGGGTTCAAGTCCAGAGAATGCTATAGTCATCATTCTTTGAAACGAATTTGGCGCTATTTTTAAACCAAATGGTAACCGCGTGAAGCGATATGAACCGTTTGTTGTTGAAAATGAAGTAATATCTCTTGATCTTTCTTCGAGTTCTATTTGGTGAAAACCTGACATTAAATCTAGGCATGAAAAGAATTTCGCTCTACCTAGTTGATCTAAAATATCATCAATTCTAGGGAGTGGAAATTTATCGGACAACAATTTTTTATTGATCTGACGATAGTCAATTACTAATCGCCATTTTTTCTTTTCAGAATTCGGAAGTGTTTTCTTGGGTACTAATAACAAAGGGCTATTATAGGGAGATACGGACGGTTCGACTATTTTGTCGTCAATTAGTTTTTTGACTTGTTTCTGAATTTCTTCTTTTTGGCTGTGAGGATTTCTATAATTTTTTATATATATCGGTTCATCATCTTTCAATCTCAGTTTTTGTTTATAGAAATTATTTGTGGTCATTGGTTCGGTTTCTAAACCAAACACATCACTATATTGTACGCACAGTGACGTTAGCTGTTTATGGAATAATGGCGGAAAATTTTTTGATAGCTGGCTTAGTACAATTTTTTCTCTTTTTTCTGGAGTTGTTGTAACTACTTCGTAGTTTGAAAGTGGTTCATGTTTTAAACTATTTATGCTAATTAATTGGTCTTCGTTAGTTGTATTCAGTATTCTTAAGAATGCGTTTTGAGAATTTACTATGGTATTTGCTATGTAAACACCATGCTGAATTTCTTGATTTGGAATAAGTATACTTTCTTCTTCTGAGTTTATTTTAATGTTTCTGATTACTTGAGATCTTGCTGGCAGAATTAAGGAGTTGTTGCCAGAACTGTATGTTATTTGAACATAAATGGGATATTTTAAATTGTTTGGTCTAATTATTAGCCAGTCTTCAGTTGGATTGAAATCCAATACGCAGTTATATTTCTTTATGAAATCTATTCCTAGTATTCCATCACATGGAATAGCAAAGTTTGTATTCACGATGTGAAAATCGTGTGGAATTATATATTTTGAAGTTTGTATTTCTATAGACGTAAATCCTTTGGATTTAGTAACTTCCTTACTTATTCCTTGTATGTTAATTATATTGTTTGTTTGGATGTTTTGATAAACATCCGAATTTTCTTTTAATATTGAGATGTCTGCGCCGGTGTCGACTAAAAAGACTAATTCATTTCCTGTACTAGCGTTTGTGAATTTTACATATATATTTTTGCTGAGATTGATAGTGTGAATTTCCGATATCTTTACTGCTGATTTTCTAATGGGTTTTGTGAGTATCCCGATGTGTTTTGGGCCACCCTAACATTGTTGTTATTATTGTTATTATTGTATCGGTTATAACCGCTGTTCTGCTGGTTATTTCCTCTACTGCTTCCTCTATTACTTCTATTATTATAATTTCCTCTATTGTTTCCTCTATAGTTATTTTGATTGGTGTTTTGGTAGTTGTAGCGATCATTATTATTATTATAATAACCGCGGCCATTGCCTCTACCACGACCTCTGTTATTGAAATTACCTCGACCCCTTTGGGTGTAGAACACCGTGTTTGGATTTCCGGTCATTTCTGTACTATATTGTACATATTTGGCTATGGCATCGTTCATTGTTTTGAAGTTGCCAGCCTCAAGGATTGTTTTTAATTTACTCTGTTCGCAATTTTTAATCATTGCGTCAATGGTTTCCTTGGTACTGAATTTATCAGCATGTTCCGCTGGTAACCCTTCATCAATATACGAAGCCTCAAGAAGCCTTCGTAAATTGTCTATTTCGGTCGTGAATTTCTCGGCGGTTTTTCCTTTTTGTATAGTTTTAGATAGTTTGGCCTTTGCTACGTCGGATGTTTCACCAACTATAGTATCTTGAAGTTTTTTTATTATAGCTTTTATAGTTGTTTCGTCTTGGACTTTATATAATATTGAGCCAATAATTTTTGATTTTATTACTTCAACAGCTATATCTTCAAATGTGCCTTTTGTAAGATCTACTAACTTCAAAGCTCTTATGAATCTTTGAAGATGTATTCTTTGTCCGTTGAATTCCGGAATGGCATTTGAAATGTCCTTTATATAGGCTCTTTGATCGTTTATATTTGCCATTATGTTTATTTTTCTATCAACTATACTTGTATTAGAATCTATGTCTGAATATTCTTCTATTTCATTATCGGGTTCCGATAATGTAAATAGGGCTGGTATTGTTAGATCGTTTAGATCTTTTTCTTTTATCTGAGTTTCGGACTCAGAATCGGAATTTTCGTCAGCTGATTCTATGTTAGTGAATATACATAGCTAGAGGTGTGTTCAATACGGTTGGTATGAATATATCTAACTTATATTTTTCTTTTACGTTTATAAGGTTCGAACGTAGTTTGATCAATAGTTTTGAAATCTTTGTCCAATTCGATTTGCCAATTATTTCTCTATTGTCATTTACTAACGTTTCTTTTTGTATTGTCCTATTCTGTGTTACACATTTATAAGACTTGCTAAATTTTTCTTTTATTTCGCGTATATGGAGGCTGAGTTGTTCCCAATTCATTCTTAGGATTGAAAAGCTTGTTAGCGATGCGATCGCACCATAACTTTTTGGATTGTCCTAGTATGGGGTTATATTCACTTACAATTTTAGCCTGTAAATAAGTAATGGTTGTCGCTAAGACAAGACCTTGCTCGATTTGGGTCAGACCATCTAATGGACATGTAACACCACCGAACGTTTCCACATATTCTCCTGAGAATTCATATACGCTTATAAATTATTTGTGCTGTTGAAGCACATTTAATGATCTCACTAGGAATTCTGGCTCTCTGCTGAGTACTTGCTGACATAGGTCTCTAATATGTGCGTTTGAAATTTTAGTTATTTCCTATATACTAGACAAATATTTGTTTTTTGAGTGTGTTTTTATTATTAGACATATATAAAAGTTTTCTCTTTTTTTTTAAATTTATTCCTGTTTAGACCGTCTGTGCATTTATTTAGATCTTGTCTAGATCATTAGCTTGGCTTAAGGCCCTCTTTGTAATGCATTTGTTATGCAGCAAATATGCTTTATAAATTACATATGCACTCATAATAATGACGATTATAAACAGCAATATATTTGTTATTTTAGAGTCCACATTATTTGACTCAATTTTGTTTATTACGTTAGCAGTGGAATCCACTACCTTTGTGTCTACGAGTCCCATTTTGGGTGCTACTCCTAATTCGACTAATTTCTCTGATTCAATTTCAAATTTACTTATGCTATTACTTCGCATAGAAGTATAAAACGATAATATAATGATTCTCGATAAGGTGCATTTCTTATATATTTATTATATATATATATTTTTTTTAAATTCATAATCAACTACTTATTTTTTTTTTTTTTAATTTTTAATTTTGTTATTCTTAATTTTTTTTCACTTCGTCATTTATATTCTTTCTAATATAGTTTTCCTATTCGATCAGCGCAGTGATCTCATGTCTAATGTTTCGTATGGCTGTCAGGCCATACTCTATTACGAGCAACGCAATTATCGCTCAGTATTACAAACATATCTTTACATTTCATGACTTAATTTAATTCCTAGTTTAACAATTTTTCTTTTAAATTTAAATTTATTTTTATATATATATATAGAAATATGTTGCGCGCTCTATGTAGCGCTGCCGGCCCTATAGTACTTGGTCTGTTGGGGCGCCGGTGCAGGTTCCGCACAGGCTGTTGGGGCGCCGGTGCTGGTCCTTTTCATACATGTGTATACGCAGTGAGGCGTCTCCAGTGGTCCAGCGCAGTCAGCAGGGCATGTATCTTCCGGTTTTGTTTTGATTTCCTTTTTTTGGTGGTACTGCTTGAAATTTGATATCGTTAATAATTTTTACTTTCTTGATGCTTTTTTCGTTTGTAGAGGATGAGCTTTTATATTTTTGCTGAATCGACTCGATATTGTCGATTTCTGCTTGTATTTTATTGCCTCTTTCCCAACTTATTTTCGTGTTGGTGGCAAATAACAGCTTTAGGAGTTCGGCTTTTTTATTCTTAAGCCTTCTATTAACTCCACTGCGCCTATTTGTAGGCATAGCTCAGAGCCTCTACTCACTCAGTTGATGTTGCTGCTGTGTCTCCTGTGTCACATGCGGATGTGATGCGGATGTATTATGCCGCCAGCATGCGGCTGTTGACATTCTTGGCCTTCTCGCTGGATGTGCGCGGCTACTTGTTGTCCTCGTCGACGTTGCTGCTGTACTTCTGGGCCTGCTGCTGCTGTTGTTGCTGATGTTGTTGTTGTTGCTGTTGTTGTTGTTGTTGCTGCTGCTGCTATTGCTTGTGCTGACAATGTTGCGGTTGATGATCATATTGTTGTTCTTGTTGTTTTTGTTGATCCGGTTAGTCCTTAAAAGGACTGGTCACGGTCGCCATGTTGAGGATAATTTGTCGAATGTTTTAATAAAGAAAGCATTTATTTACGATGGCACGTCAGTGCCATCTTAGACTTCTTTTGCGAATGAATTTACAGAATATATATTATATTCTTATAGCTAGAGCCGCATAGCTGTGCTGCCGGTTACGCCAGCAGCAGAGCGGCTTCGTTCATATGCATACACTTCGCGTCATCAGGTTAGCGCCCCCCCTTACACTCATTTTCTTTTACGTTTTTCTCTTTGCCTATTGCACGCAACTTCTTGGTTTTTTTTTTATTTCATTATCATCATATGAGATGTCTCTCATACCAAAAAAAACCGCGAGTGAAAACCCGTTATGTTTTATTTTCTATTCTTCTGTATTTTCGCAAAAAATGTGTGCACTTATTTTGCGTCATCAGATTAGCGCCCCCAAATGCAATTGTAATTATCTTGCTTATTTTGGCAATTACACTCACCAAATTTTTTGTGAAGCTTAAAGTATTCAATATATTTATAGTATGGGTAAAGAAACAGTTTTATCTTTGGTTGAAAATCAAAGATTGAGGCATACTTTGAATCTAGACTATGCAACCAGAAAATTGCTGAAAAAACAGGAAAAAACAGAAATCTAAGTGGCAATTTTCTTACAAATAGGGAAAACTATGGAAAAAACTATATACGCGGCAATAATCAAGCGATTTCAGAAGGAAATAGAAGAGCATTAGTTCGAGACGCTTCGAATTCCCACGAATCGACCACCAAGATTAGGGTTAAAATCAGTGTTAGGACGAGCTTATCAACGGTCTAAAGAGCAATTAAGAAAGTTAATTACTTAAAGAAACAGAATGTAAAAAAAAAGACACCAGTCGATATGCTGAGAAAAGAAATACGCATTAATTTTGGCCGGGCGAACATGACGTGGTCTACCCAATGGCAGCATGTTGTCTTTTCTGATGAGAAAAATTGAATTTGGAAGAAACTGATGGATATAATTATTATATCCATGACCTACTCATAGAAGAACATTATTTGGAACGGTTTCCAAGCCGTTGCGGCGGGGGGGTGGTGTGGCATTGATGTAGGGTGCAATATCTTACTACAGCGCTTGTAAGCTTCAATTTTTGACATCGCGCATGAACGCATAGGACTATAACATCGTGTTTAAAACTGCTGTTCCGCATTTCTATAACCTGTCTGAAAACCGGCATTAGATTTTCCAGCATGATAATGCCCCAATTCAGACCGCCTGATCCCTGAAGTCCTGGATTCAGGGCCAAAAAATTGATCTCATGGAGTGGCCACCATACTCACTCGACCTTAATATCATTGGAAACGTTTGGGGATGGTTGGTCAGGAAAGTATATGAGTCCGGAAAGCATTATAGTACAAAGACAGAGTTAATCGAAGGTACTGAACACGCTTAATCAACCATATCCTTGAATAATATTGAACAACTTTATAATTCCATTCCTAATCGAATTTTTAAAGTAATTTCAAACAAAAAACGGCACTACGCACTACTAATATTACTTAAAAATAACAATAGCTTAAAATACAGGTGTTATTTTTGGTAATTAACTTAAATAAATTGAATTTTGCGCAGGGGGCGCTAATCTGATGACCAAATTTTTGTTACATGTTTTTTGTACATTTTACAAAAAAAATTATTAAAAAATAAGCCTTATTGTTACAGTAGCCATTCTTTTTGTATTTTAAAGAGAAATAAATGGAGTATAATGTAAAAAAATTTCAAAGCTGGAGCTCTGCTGGTTTAGATTTTATTTAGCTTTGAGGTTGAGTGTAAGGGGGGGCGCTAACCTGATGACGCGCAGTGTATATGCTTAGGTATAAGTGTTTATATATTAGCTTAATGGTCTGGCGAGAGTCGCAGACGGAGAGGGGGTAATGTGTCCACTTGTTTACGAAACAGTCGCGCATGCAAAATATGCCGACTCAGCGGAGTTAGTGCACTGTTGAGGCCAATGCACTTGAGAGTGATCATATTACTTCTTATGTATGTATGTTTAATTGTAACAATGTATTTGTGACATTCTTTGTGTATGTAAATATATATGTTACTGAGTACAGTGAACATTTGATAAAGTGGACTACTACAATTCTTAGAATATGCTAGAGTACGCATTTATGTATGCATACATACACACATACAAATGAGCGCGTGTATAAGGCTGGAATGCTTGATGCTATGCGTGCAGACTTACATATATACATATGTATATATTTGCGTATATGTATTTGAGGGCTATTTAAGAAGAAACAAATTTAAACTTATAAAATTATTCGACTAAGAAAATGAAAAGTATTAAGTGCCATTCAGTCAAGCTCGCACCTTCCCAATAAAATATCTATTTTATAAAAAACGAAATAGGTATGAAAAAAAAAAAATAATAATAATAACATAGTAGAGGTTCGAACCTCCCCTACTCTAACATTACTTGCGTCGCCCTTAGCACCCGCGCCACTGCTTTGCTCGAGCAATCAGTTGCTAAAATAGAATAGCTTAATAAGAGAGCGTCATCAGACAAAACTACAGTAACGGCTAGAAAGTCCAGAAATCAATCGAAATTCTAAGAATGTGAGAAAAGGCGCGCTTCTGTCTGTACGCATAGAATAGACGATGAGTGTGTGCACATGTATAGTAAAATCGCGCTGATCTGCTGCTAGCTTGAAGCCGGTATCCAATATATGGATATAAATACATATATATTATTAAAAGTCTAAATTTTATAAATTATATACAATAGCAATAGCTATCGATGATTTTCCAATTTTAATGGGATCATGCCCTGTTTTTTGTTGCGCACTAGACTTGAAAATTGCACTATATACTCTGGTTGACAGCGTTTGTGCTGTGAATGAGTCTTCTGCAATCGGTATCGCCCGACTGCAACGTTCTTACTTGTTTTAAATTTAAATTGCCTCTCGTATAAAATAAATAACTATCGATGATCTTCCAATTTTAATTGGATCATGCCCTGGTTTTTGTTGCACACTAGACTTGAAAATAGCACTATATACTCTTGTTGACAGCGTTTGGCCTGTGAATGAGTCGTCTGCAATCGATATCGCCCGACTGCAACGTTCTTACTTGTTTTTTTACTAAAATAGTCGTTGACTGTCGCGGAATGATGTGGCTCAGATGGTCACCCTACACCCACATAAAATTTAACGACTCTAGATTTCTGGGAAGTGTAATTTTATAACTAATTAACAAATTTTTCGATAAGAGTTTTAATCGATAACAAAATAACGGAAGTAGTTATCGTCGTTTTACACGGAAGACGTTATAAGAATAACGTGTTGGAAGCTATAAGTGGAGTCGTTATATTCTGATTCTACTGTACTTCCTTAAACTTGCTTTATGCTTATGCTTATGCTTAAACTTGGAACAGTTCTTCAAAACAGAATGCAAAGTAAATCAACCAATTTTGTCAAGATACTTATGCCGTCGTCTGTATATTAGGTTATATTTATTCTTCTTAAAATGTAATATAAAACATTTTTCGTTTACTTTTTATTTATTTAAGGATGATGCATTCAAATAATGTGCTTAGACCAAATGGTGAAAGATCCCCGAGTAGAATATCAATATATAACTACCCAGAGCATTTGAATCCATTTAATGAAGAAGACAATCACAAGCGTTTGCGTTTTTGGAACTTTTCAAAATCGAATGAATATTCAAATCGGAGAAGTTTTTCATTTGGAAATTTTCGGGATGTATGGTAAGTAACAAATGTAATTTTGATTAGTTTTGAAATGTTTTGGAGCTAGGGATCCAAAAGTTTTATTCCGAATGGTACCGTCAGTTAGGGTAGGACTGCTTTGCTATCGCTTTACCGAAAAATATTAAACCGTTTTGGGACTGCGAATAAGTATAATGTAGACGGTGGCGGCCGATTGTACGACTTTAAAATTTTATAAAGATAAATACATAACAAGTAAGAAAGCTCTAGTCAAAACTGCTCGACTACGAGATTTCCTTAACCCTTCGAGCAAGTGATATAGTGATACAACACACACACGGATGGATGGACTATCTTCATGAAACTTTTAGATTATAGATATGCACATATTTGCCAAAGCACGAGTCTCTAGTATTTGAAATACGTATTTTACAAACTTAAGGGTGAAGGGGTGAATATAAGGGTGGGGTAAATTTTGACCAAAATCGAAATTCTATAAAGTACATATGAATATACATTTATAATTTGGCGACTCTAGCTTTAAAGATGTAAATTTATTACTGGCTTTCGACGTTTTTAATTGATAACAAAATAACGGGGCAAGTTATCGATTTTCCAAAGCAAAACTCGATATGCGCGTGGTATACACGGACAGGAAAAAAATTTTAAGTCTCTGAGATCGACGCGTTCAAACACACGAACAGAGCTAAGATCAAGAATATATATATTTTAAGGGGTCTGCCACGCCTCCTTCTGCCTGTTACTTTTAACAAAATCATTATTCCCTGATCTCCCATTTTCAATGGGTTCTGGGTATAAAAATATGTATATGTTTCAGGGCGCATATAAATATATGTATACATACTGACCCGGCAAACGTTGCTTTGCCTCCAGCGAATGCTTATGTGCCACGGTACATTCATCCACACAGTGGCCATCGATGATTGTTTTTTAAAGTTACAAACTGCATCTGGATTATTTTGATTGTTCAGTGGCAACTTGAATGCCGAATGAGCTGTTCTGCCTCCATCTTATAAAGTACATGCAATGCCAGATTATGGAACGGCTAATGCGATGCCTTTTTTTGCTCGTATCTCGGCAAGAAGTAACGAAATAAGGAATGTTTTGCCACTCAAAAAGTAAATTTGTTAAAATTTATAAGGTTCACTTGGCATTGGTAGCAATGAACCTACATTGCGGTAAACTTGGCCTTTGATTTTGAATGTAGAATTAAATTGTTGACCATTTGCAGCAGTATTTTGAACTATTTCCCCTTCATTTGAAAAAATGAATTGAATTTTCGAATTGATTGCAAAAACAGCAAAGAATCTGGATCAGTACCAATAAGGAAGCCGTGCAATGGTTCCGGCGGTATTTCAATTTCTGGGAGTTTTACTTTTCCTGATGAGCAACACATCCCGACCGGCTCATTTTTAAATTTAAGGGCATAGCAGTGCGGGCATTCCAATGTACCAATCAATCGTGAATTGTGATGCACGTAACTACGCCATGCTTACACGGACATCTGCATTGCTTTGTTGCCTTTCTTCATCTGATCTTTAAGCTCTGCTATCTTGCTTCTAGATTTGAGTGTTCGACGACTCAAATTAGCCTCCTTGCGTTTTCGTGACATTGCTGTCTGTTAATCAAACATAAATAAATGAAGTTGAAAAACTGTTTGATGATAAACAGTGACGTAATATCGTATTTGATGGCTCATTATTTGCCTTACCTTTTATACTAATAAATCACGTTCACGTATTAATAAAATGTGCATGAATAATTGTTTAACATGAGAGCATGACCGAACACAGTCACTGTTATCAAGCCTACTGGGTAAATTCTCAATGACAATGCAAAGATCCTCTATGGAAATCAATGCTTCATTATACATTGCGTCACTGAATAATATCGTAAGGTCGTTGCGTCAAAAAAGAAAAAAAAAAATTAATGGTGGCCTACCCTTTAAACTTAGGGCCATGAAAAATAGATGTTGGCCGATTCTCAGACCTACCCGACTTGCACACAACATTTCGTGAGAATCGGTCGAACAGTTTCGGAGGAGTTAGGCAACAAACGAGAGAATTTTATATATAAGATTATATATAGCGCAGCGAGTTTCGGTGGCCGTCTACTTCTCAAACGATTCTGGCTTCCCTCTAATTTTTTGTGCCTACCTCCGAACCATCGCCGACAGCTAAAGGGCGATTTTTTAGCTATTATCTTTTTGGCAACACTGATTTAAACAGCTGACGCACGTTTCGTGTTTTGTTTCACTGTCAAACATCTTCAGTTTGGTCTATAATTTAACCATGAATCGTCTCACAAACGAACAACGCTTGCAACATATTGAATTTTAATATCAAAATGCGTGCTCTGTTAAGAAAGTTCATCGCGCGCTTTTTCCGTTTTATGTTCAGTTTAATCGACCCACTGGAGCGGCTATTCGGGCTATTGTGACTAAATATCGCACCAAATTTATATTAGTGGACATTAACCCACCAACACGCTTACGTAAAGTGCGAACTGAAGAAAATATCGCAGCTGTATCGACCAGTGTTAATGATGACCACGAATGATAGATTCGTCGCCGTTCGCAGCGCTACCGTGAGATGATATCCAATTTATTTTTGCCCAGATATTCTACTCATTCTGCACTTCTTTTATGCACACATACATACACATGCATCAACACGTACATATAATCACGCGCTCTGCTAAGCAGCGACTGCGCTTGGGCTGCGCTGCAGTGTGGGCAATATTATGAGAACTTATTTGTTGAATAATCTCTTTTGTAGACGGACAATCGTAATGCAACTTTCAGAGCATGATTATATGATTAGAATGTGAGTACATTCCAAATTCCAAATTACGAATTGTACAAAATCTGTAAATTAAAAAATCTTTGTATTCATCAACTTCATATACACAGTAAATCTGAAATCTCCAGGTCTAAAAGTGTTCAAATTAGACTGAAAAAACAAAATCGTCGTCTTGATCAAGAACCCATTGAAAATGGGAGATCATGGTATAATGATTTTGTTAAAAGTATGTAGCAAGAAAAATGAGGCGTGGCAGACCCCACAAGGTATGTATATTCTTGATCAGGCCGACGAGCTGAGTCAATTTGTCCGTCTGTCTGTCTGTCCGTATGTTTGGACGCTAGAGACTTACAATTTTTAGACTCATTCACGAAAGTGAAATGAGTATATTGGTTTTGTGCAATGTCCGTCTTGCTGTCCGTCCGTCTGTCCGTCTGTCCGTATGAACGCAATCTATTTCGGCGCTATTGAACCTAGAGACTTGAAATTTGGAACACATACTCGTGTATATCTCCGATTTATAAAGTGTTAAAATTTTCCCGAACCGCCCACTAGGGGCGTGGCAAATCGGAAAATGCATTTTCCGATATACCAGAAATCATGTTTGTTAAAGAGCTAGAAAGCTGAAATTTGGTATGTAGGTCCGTGCCAACCACCCAAGATCACGAACTATAGCGGGTATATCTCCGCCCATTGGGGGCGTGGCAAATCGGATAAAAATGTATTTCCTAAAGTTATAAACCTAGAATGCTGAAATTTTGCATGTAAGCTAATGTTTTAATTCTATGAAGATGGGTGAAAAAATTATATATCTACGCCCACTAGGGGCGTGGCAAATCGGACCTGAAGATATAGTGATTTTTCGAATTCTGCTATATTTTAGGCACTATTGATGCTAGAGATCTGAAATTTGGTATATATACGCGGGTTGGTCACCCAAGTCCAACGAGCTATGGTAGATATATGTCCGCCCATAGGGGGCGTGACAAACCGCAAAAGTTTATATCTCCTACAGTTTAAGAGCTAGAAGCTTAAAATTTGAATAGTTAAGTGGTAGCCTCCTCTATCGATGCCCCAAAAATAATTTTTAAGCCTCTTTAGGGGCGTGGCATATCGAAAAATACCCTGTAATTTTCACATTTTTTGAGCGTAAGAATTCAAATTTTGCAATTAGGTTACCGGTTGCTCGTTCTAAGAACTGGCCAAAAATGAGGAGTCTACGGCCATTAGGGGCGTGGCAATCGGCATTTATAGTAGCCATATCGCGGCATTTATATGCGTCAGCCATCTATTTATGTATTTGTACATATAAATAGGCTTAATAGGCATTGATAGCACGGAAGGAAACATTTTTATAAAATTAATAAAATATAAAAAGCTAAAATAACAAAAAAAATTTGCAATTTACAAAAAAAAAGTTTTCCGCGGGATTTGAACTCGCACCCAAGCGAATAGCATGTTCATGTCAAAATATCTAAAATAAAGATCGCCGGCGCCTCAGCCTACAGCACCACCGCGTCGTTTTGATCAACAGTAGTTAAAACAAAATCACATTATTGTTATGACGCCACATAGCAAAGAAAAGACAGTGTAGCGGCTGGAAATTCAAAAACAATGCAAAGACAAATCAATCGCAGCGAGATTCTTGGAATATGCTACAGTACGCATTTATGTGTACATACATACACATATACAAATGAGCGCGTGTATAAGGCTGGAATGCTTGATGCTATGCGTGCAGACTTACATATATACATATGCATGTATTTGCGTACATGTATTTGAGGGCTATTTAAGAAGAAAATTTAAACTTATAAAATTATTCGACTAAGAAAAAGAAGAGTATTAAGTGCCATTCAGTCAAGCTCGCACCTTCCCAATAAAATATCTATTATATAAAAACCAAAATATGTATGAAAAAAAATAACACCAAAGAGGTTCGAACCTCCTATTCTAACATTATTTGCGTCGCCTCTAGCACCCGCACCACTGCTTTGCTTGACCAGTTACTAAAATTGAATAGCTTATTAAGAGAGCGTCATCAGACAAAACTACAGTAACGGCTAGAAAGTCCAGAAATCAATCGAAATTCTAAAAATGTGAGAAAAGGCGCGCTTCTGTCTGTACGCATAGAATAGACGATGAGTGTGTGCACATGTATAGGAAAATCGCGCTGATCTGCTGCTAGCTTGAAGCCGGTATCCAATATATGGATATAAATACATATATATTATTAAAAGTCAAAATTGTATAAATTATATACAAATGTATGTAATTTGAATGCAATTATGCAGTGATCATAGCAATAGCTATCTATGATTTTCCAATTTTAATAGGATCATGCCCTGTTTTTTGTTGCGCACTAGACTTGAAAATTGCACTATATACTCTGGTTGACAGCGTTTGTGCTGTGAATGAGTCTTTTGCAATCGGTATCGCCCGACTGCAACGTTCTTACTTGTTTTTTAAATGACCTATATATAGCGCGGATGTTTACCTTTAGTAATAGTAACTCATACCGTTACTTTGTTATCGATTAAAACTTTTTATCGAAAATCAGTTATAAAATTATATCTCCTACATATTAAAAGCTAGAGTCTCAAATTTTAAATATATGTTTAGATGCATTTTATATAATTTGATTTTTGTTAAAATTTACCTCCCACCCCTATATCCACCCCCTCACCCTTAAGTTTGTAAAAGTACGAGTATGTTTTCCAAATTTCAAGTCTCTAGCTTCAATAGCGCCGAAATAGATTGCGTTCATACGGACAGACGGACGGACAGCAGGACGGACATTGCACAAAACCAATATACTCATTTCACTTTCGTGAATGAGTATAAAAATCTTTAGTCGGGACACTCGACAACTGATATTTGAATCTATAGTAAAAATTAACACATTTTGAACACTTATATTCATAATAAATTTTTTTTAGGACCTTTCGTTCATTCAACTTAAAAAAAAAATCATCTACTTTGGGAATTCAAAAAACTTCTGAGAGCCCCCCTCTTCTGCGAAGAAATTTAGATTTAACTAAATCATATCTGCATTCAGGAGGATATAATTATAACAAAAGAAGACCTCTAATGAGATCCTTGCAGAATGTCAGCGACTCTACCGATGTAAGTAGCTATTTATATTTTTTTTACTCTTTAAAAAAGCAAAAAACCAAAAAAAAAACTAAACTAATTCTTAATAGAAATAAATAAGAAAACTCTAGTCGAGAGTGCTCCACTAGATAATACTTTGAATCAAACTAAACTAGTAAAAAAGCTCAAGTCGAGAGGCTCGGCTCGGGACTCCTCGGTTACGAGATCCCCTAAACCCTTAAAACAACTCATATTATAATCATTATTCGCACATATACACACAGACAGTATCTTGGGGCGGTGGGTGCATTTCAACTAAAATCAAAATTCTATAAAGCTCATATGATTCTATATTTCAAAATTAGTGACTCTAGCTTTAAAGATGTAGCAGATATAAATTTATTGCTGGTTTTTGATAATGTTTTTAACGGAACAGGTTATCGATTTTTGAAGCACGTAGTATACACCTAAGAAAAAATGTCAAGTCTCTAAATTTTGTATCTTCTGAGATCGACGTATTCAAGCATACGGACGGACGGACAGACAGACAGACAGACAGACAGACAGACAGACACACAGACGGGCAGGGCTAAATCGACTCAGCCCGTCGCCCGGATCAAGAATATATACATTGTGGGGTCTACCACGCCTCCTTATGCCTGTTACACACATTTCAACAAAACCATTATACCCTGATTTCCCATTTTCAATTGGTTCAGGATATAACAAGTAAGAAAACTCTAGTCGTGACTGCTCGACAGGAAATACCCTGAATCAGATTAATAACAAGTAAGAACTTTGCAGTCGGGCGTTACTGACTGCGGAATACTCATTCACATCCGATCAGCAATTTAGCAGCTCAGTGTAGCTCTAATACTGTAGAAAATGCAGGTTTTCCCGATTTGCCACGCCCATACTGGGCGTAGACAACTCATTTTTGGTCAGTTCTTAGAACGAGTTAACGGTACCCTAACTGCAAAATTTGACTTCTTACGCTCAAAAAATGTGAAAATTACAGGGTATTTTTCGATATGCCACGCCCCTAAAGAGGCGTAAAAATATAGCAGAATTGAAAAAATCAATATATATTCAGGTCCAATTTGCCACGCCCCTAATGGGCGTAGACATATAATTTTTTATTAGTCTCTATAGAAAGCTTTAAAACTCTAGGAGATACAGTTTTATCCGATTTACCACGCCCCCTTTGAGCCTAGATATATCCGCCACAGCTTGGGTGGTCGATGCGGATCTACATTCTAAATTTCAGTTTTCTAGCTCTTCAACTAATATGATATCTGGTATATCGAAAACTGCATTTTCTGATTCGCCACGCCCCTTGTGAATGAGTATAATAATTCACTTTCATGAATGAGTATAAAAAAGCTATTTCGATATACATACTTAAAAATATAAATAAAATAAAAAACTCATTTACTTACCAATGCAGTTAATGCTTTACGCCATACTCTGGATGGACTATTGTCACAATATAACACATTTTTGTCTCGTTGCAAAATATATTTTCCCATAATTCTGCTGACTGACTAATCATTTTATTTTTTCAATATTAATCGATGAATGCAGCGGTTTCTTACACGCAACTCTTGAAGAGTATCTATATTGTGTATGGCTTGATGTACTGTTTCATGTGAGACAACTAAGTCACTCTCTTGCTTCAGGTCTCTGGCAAGTGCCCCTACTATAGACTTGCGGAATTTCGTGAATCTTCCGTATAATTAGACAGTTTCACTGTTATAAATCCTTTTTTACGTCCACCTGTTTCTTAACATATGTATATATTATATATGTATACATTACATGTCCTGAATACTAAAATACCACTGTGGTAACTATAAGCAGTGAATCTATTTTAGTTTTGCCAGCGCTGCATCCAAAAGTGAGGTGGCGTAGTGAGTAGCGGCGGGACGCTCGATTGAGAAGTCGCGGGTTCGAATCCCGAGTGGTGCAACTAATGTTAATTTTTTAATTTTTTTTTTAAATATTTATACATTTTGTTAAATGAGTTTTCTATTTAATTTATATTTTTAAATACACCGAAATTGAAATTTTACCCATACTAAATGTGCGTTTTTATACCCTGAACCCATCGAAAATGGGCAATCAGGGTATAATGGTTTTGTGAAAAAGTATGTAACGGGCAGAAGGAGGCGTGGCAGCCCCTACAAAGTATATATATTCTTGATCAGCGACGAGCTGCGTCGATATAGCCCTGTCCGTTTGTCCGTTTGTCCGTCCGTCCGTATGAGTGCGTCGATCTCAGACGTTATAAGAGCTGGAGAGCTGAAATTTGGCAATCGATACAAAGATTTTGTAATTTACAGATTTTGGATACCACGCATTTCAAGTACTAGAGAATTGTGCATTGGAATGTACACACATATTCACCTTATGATTACGCTCTGAAAGTTTCATTAAGATCGTATGTCTACAAAAGAAATTATTCAACAAATAAATTCTCATAATATTGCCCACACTGCAGCGCAGCCCAAGCGCAGTCGCTGCTTACTGCACAGTTAGCAGAGCGCAGGCTTATGTGTGCTTGTGGATGTATGTGTATGTATGTGTGCATAAAAGAAGTGCAGAATGATTAGAATATCAGCTTAGAGGGTTCAGGGTATCTTCTAGTCGAGCAGTCTCGACTGGAGCCTTCTTAGTTGTTATTAGATTAGTTATTCTAGCAGATTCTTAGAATCACATCAGCAGTTAGTTTGATGTAGTTTTGCTAGATGGCGCTGCAGCAGTGAATATATTTCAATTTTGCCAAAGGGGCTTGCAAAAGTGAGGTGGCGTAGTGAGTAGCGGCGTGACGCTCGATCGAGAAATCGCGGGTTCGAATCATGAGCGGTACAACTGATGTTAATTTTTATACTCATTCACGAAAGTGAATTATTATACTCATTCACGAAAGTGAATTAGTATATTGGTTTTGTGCAATGTCCGTCTTGCTGTTCGTCCGTCTGTCCGTCCGTCCGTGTGTATGAACGCGTCTATCTCGGAAGATATAAGAGCTACATACTTAAAATTGTTTTTTTGGGTCCGTGTATATCACGCGAATTATGGTTTTATTTATCTATATATAAAAGAGAGTTGTGTAAAAGTGTACCGAGACTTATAACTTGATATGTGCTGTACCAATTTTCATGGTTTTTGATTTGTTGGATTTGTCTCCGCCACGAGTAGGATCTTAAAAATACTGAAAAAATTTTACGAATACTTGAAAAACGCGGGTTTTTCCCTAAAGATTCAAATTTCCATTTATACTCAGTAGGCTTGATAACAGTGACAGTTTTCATTCCTGATGATTTGAATCGAGCAGCGTTTCGATATGATTGCACCATTGACTACAGCTTGAATCGTTTAGTTTGCATTGGTCCAATGGACGTATTGAAGTTTGCTGGTGAAACGCCCGGTTTGTGATGCCTTAGTGGTAAAGTGACATTGCCATTAGTGGTTCCGCCACCAGAGCCTGTTCTATGGCGAAACACTAGAATCACATTTTCTAGCGAACACTCAAGAAAAAATGCCTGTTTCCAAATGACTTCTTTTGGGGCGGAAATTATTGGAGACGTATATAAACCGACATTTAAGGTAATTTACGTTAAAAATTTTATTTTCTGATTGTAAAAAAAAAAAAAAATTTGGAATAATGTAGTTTGTTAGATTTCTGTAAAAAGTGTTTGTAAATCTAACTATAACTATGGCTTTGAATTTAAAGATTCAAGGCCAGATTTGCCATCGCTTTGGATCATTGCAACCTATTGAAGATGCACAGCACAAATTCTTGCAAATATACTTCATGGGCAATATGGAAGAACAACTTGACCGGCGTCAAGAAATCAACACAGCTATGAAAAGAGCAATTCTCCAAGATTAGCAGCAAATGCTTCACGAACTTCATGCATTTGTCAAGCTGTTCAAGACTGCTTTAGAGCGCATGCCAAGAGATGACTATAAAGTAGTAATCAGAGCAGATAAAACACCAGCTGGGACACATGAACGCACATTTAATGCTCCAACAATCGATGAAGTAAAATCAATCATTGTTTTCATATTAACTTTATATACATTTCATTCTGATTGCTTTTGGTACACAAAAAAAGTTATCACTCTTAATTTAGTAGAGAGTATCTGTAAGAGTCGTAAACCTATTAGGGGTTCTAAAATACAATTTTTACGATCAACAAATCACAGGGCCAATCTTTGACTATTTGTGGCCTCAATCTCATGGTCAATTGTACGTGGCATGCCCACGTGTTGGCAAACCATCCGCATTATTTGTTCTTGCACCTGACCAAAAAGCGAAGAATGTCGTTTACCACAAGGTGCTTGAATGAAAATCCGATTAATAAATTAACCAGAGTGTATCCCAACCTGAACAACATAGCTTTCAACAATTTTTTACCTAGAAATAATGGATAGGGCAATGCAACGTTTGCCGGGCCAGCATAATAAAAACTGTAAATCACTGAAACAAAAATGTCTTTAGATATTTATATATATAAATATATATATAAAAACAATATCTTCGGATATTACAATTTTGCTTTAATGATAATAAAAACTTCTGTTCTGTTCGGAATGAATCTTAAGACTGAATGTAAAGTTTTCTTTGGCTATGCAAATGCCTGTTTTGCTTATATTTATTGTTACTTTTCTTTCGCATATACAAATGCCTGTTTTGCTTATATTTGTTGTTGCTAGCTGCGCATTTACAACGGAGGCGGCGGCGACGCTTACGTTGTTTATGCTTTGGTAATCTGATCTCTTTTTAAATATTTCTGCATGATTGTGCTGATCTGGTCATTATCGTTATTCCCATGCACAAGTGCATTTGGTTGTGCATCTTGTATGAGCATATTTGGTTATGTAATTTGCATAAGCATATTTGGTTGCATAGCTCGCGCATATCGAGGTTTTCTCCCAAAATCGATAACTACTCATGATATTTGGGGCGGTGGGTGAATTTTAACAAAAAATCGAAAAAAAATCTTTAAAATTTATATGAAACTTTTTTTTTTCAATTTTGTGACTCTAGCTTTAACGATGTAGCAGATATAAATTTATTACTGGTTTTTGATATTGTTTTCAATCGATAACAAAATAATGGGGAAAGCTATCGATTTTTAAAGCAAAACTCGATATGCGCGTAGTATACATGGACCTAAGAAAAAAATTTCAAGTCTCTAAATTTTACATCTTTTGAGAACGACGCGCTCATACATACGGACGGACAGACGGACAGATAGACAGACACGGCCAAATCGGCTCATCGCCTTGATCAAGAATATATACTTGGTGGGGTCTGCGATGATTCCTTCTGCCTGTTAGTATGTCACAAAACCATTACACCCTGATATTCCATTTTCATTGGATGCAGGGTATAAAAAGCAAATTATTAAAGACATACCTAACCACGGATCAAACTTTGCAAAAGAATATAAAGATATTTGCAATAATAAGCCGATGGACCACAATTATGCGAAACTTATTGATACCCCAAATCAAATATCAATTTGAAATCTCCAGGTCTAATGGAATTAAAAATACGCTGAACAAACGAAAATAATTAATCGATTATTCTCGATAAGTTATCTAAAAATATGATAAACTCGTACTCTGTATGGTATACACGAGTATGCAAGTCTCTCTTTTAAGTCTCTAGCTTTTATATATTTTGAGATCGACGCGTTCATACGGACAAGCGGACATGGCTATATCGACTCTGCTCGTCGCCCGATCTTTGTCGATCTTCGTCGTCTGATCTTTTAGGTATGCCCTAACTGCAGCTAGAATGAAACGATTGACACGTTCAGCCGCATTACTCTGTGGTGAGTATAAAACGGTATAAACATGTCTCAACCCCAATTCTGTCATTAGCACAGAGCTGTGTACCATTGTCGCTCACTAAGACTTCGGGAACTCCAAAACAGTGAAATATATTCTTCAGCAAAAATTCCTGAATAGCAGATGAAGTAAACTTCTTTTAAGGACACATCCAATGAAATTTGCTAAAATGGTCTAGAACAATAGGTAAACATATATTTACTTTTAGTTCTCGGATACGGTCCCAAAATATCAACATAAAGCCTTTGAAATGGTCTGCATGTGGTGGGCTAACAATTTGATTAGAAGATTTAGTTTCCTTGCAGGTGTCACAACAACAGATGTAAGTACGGACATCGTTAGCCAATGCCGACCCACAGTGTAACGAAATCGCACAATCATAAGTGATGAATAATTAAACATTTCTTTATTTTATATGAACTATAACAGCCAATTGCTGGTACGCTCAACTTGTCCGTTCGTTTGCTTACTCAATACTCAATATGTTTATCGACTTAACCGATAATTGATCTCGATACGGGTCTTCATTCGCCGATAATAATTAAAGCTACAAATTATGCTAAAAAATGACAAATATGCTAAATAATGATAAATGAGCAGAAAAATGACAAATGGTTCCTCAACAATGAGCTTGTATAAGCACATCTGATATATGTCGTCTGGGAACCCATAACTTCCACAAACTCTCATCCTGGTCTTCCAAGCCTTTGGAATGTTCTGTTCGAATATAAATAAACTGGCTAGAGATCTTAATGTCTGGGAATTTGGATTTCTCAAGAGAAAATTTCTTCTTGAGTTCCTGGTACTCAGGGCCAAAGAAAGCATCTGAGTCTAAGTTGACGATCGGACCGATTTTTAGCGCTGCAACTTCTTCTTCGCAAATCCATGACAGGAGTTCCGGAATTATGTGATTTTTGCACATCTATGAGAATTGGTAAATTTCAAAGGCTGCAGGCGGGAAATCCGTCGGGTAAGTCTGCCGGAAGCGTTTTGTTGACGTAAGTTGTTGTAAGCCACACCAGGCTTGAGTGATCCATAACAACTTTAAATTCCTGCATTTCTAAATAGCACCTAAATTTCTCTATTACCAAAACTACGGCCGCAGATTCTCGTTCCGTTACACTATAGTTTCGCTGTGCGCGACTCAGTTTCTTTGACATAAACGCAATCGGCATTTCATCATTTCCGGAGGATAACTGAATTAGCACGGCTCCAATTCTATAATCAGTGGCATCGTATTGCTTATAGAATTTTGCTCGAAATCGGGACTCTGTACAATTAGAGCTAGGGCATGTAAGTTCGGCGCAAATTTTTATTAACTTTTGATACCACCCAAAAATGCCTAGGAATCCCCGAACATGTTTATGGTTCTTAATACAATCAACCTTTCATGGGATCGGCACAGATACCGCCACTGCCTATGATATGTCCCAATAACTGACGCTTTTAACTCAAAACTGACTTTTCTCAATATTCAATCTTCAATTCGCTTTGCGAAATTGTTCTGCGAAGCGTACCAGGACTGCCTAATGATATCGTTGATCGCCTCTTCGGTTCTCAATTTGCCTTTGTAGGGGGCATTCTGTTGTTACTAAACGAACAATTCTGCCGGTTTTCCGACGAATGTTGGGTACAATTCATACACTGGGGCTCATACACATTAAGACACTACACCCGTAACAAAATATACGACATTTTTAAGAATCTCGATAAGCTCTTTCTCATCGATTCTAACTGAAGATTTGTCGATAAGATAAACAAAACCCTCATACAATTTTTTTGAAGGATTCACCCATTTTTTCTTTCGAGAACATATTAGCTCTTTACTGGCAAATTCGGATCTGTAGTCCTTATACTGCTGGCGTAATGAAATACAAAACTCGGGCCAAATAATACAATCTACCTTCTGTGGTATCTCCAATATCAATCCCTTGGTCTACCTACGAAGAGTGTACGCAAATGTTTGCATAAAGCATCTAGGTCTTCGTCCAACGGTACATAAGTTCGTCTAGATCCAAACCCTCATCAGTACCCTCAATAATAATTTGAGTATCTATGTCTTAATGATTTGGCCAAGTTTCGAGCCACTGCCCGAGTACTTGGACATGGGACTCATGGATCTGCCTGTTTCGATTGAGGCGAACAAGTTCCTGTCACTACCTTCAAATCTTGTATATTTATCACAGCTGCACAATTTGGACAAGTGTTGAGATTATTCAACCACTCTACTAGGCAACGTTTATGGTAAGTATACTTAAAACAAGTAAGAAAGCTCTAGTCGAGACAGCCCGACTACGAGATCCCCTGTACCCTTCGAGCAACTGATATTTCAAGAATTATTCGCATATGCACACATACACGCATACACACAGGCATACGCACGCACGCATAGACACGCATTGGATGCAGTGTTGGCTTACTATGGGAACTTAATTTTTTAATAACTTTTCTTGTTGATGGACTATCTTCATGAAACTTTCAGATTATGAATATAACATAGATATGCACAAGTCCCTAGTATTTGAAATACGCCTTTTACATATGTGAGAGTGAGGGAGTGAATTAAGGGTGGGGGTAAAATTTGAAAAAAACTTAAATTGTATAAAATGCATATAGGTATACATATAAAATTTGGACTCTACCTTTAAAGATGTAGGAGATATACATTTATTACTGGTTTTCGATAATGTTTTTAATCGATAACAAAATAACGGGGCAAGTTATCGATATTTAAAACAAAAGTCGATATACGCGTGCTATACACAGACCTAGGAAAAAAAAAGTCAAGTTTCTAGCTCTGATATCTTCTGAGATCGACGCGTTCAAAAATACGGACACACGGACAGAGCTAAATCGACTCAGCTCGTCGCCTTGATCAAGAATATATATACTTTATGGGGTCTGCCACGCCTCCTTCTGCCTGTTACATACATTTAACAAAACCATTATACCCTGATTTCCCATTGAAAATGGGTCCAAGGTATAAATAGTAATATAGCACGATTGAGTATTTTTCAAAACCTGACCACATACGTATGTCCCAATTTTTCCCAGCGTCATGGAATTACGTTACGGACTGCGAGCAAGAGACTTCAGATACCCTGAACCCTATAAGCTGATATTCTACTCATTCTGCACTTCTTTTATGCATACATGCATACACATGCATCCACACGCACGCATAATCATGCACTCTGTTATCTGCGCAGCTAGCAGCGACTGCGCTTGAGCTGCTCTGCAGTGTGGGCAATATTATGAGAATTTATTTGTCGAATAATTTCTTTTGTAGACTCAGAGCGTAATCATATAGTAATAATGTGAGTACATTCCAAAGTACAAGTCTCTAGTACTTGAAATTTGTTTTTTACAAATTGGGGGCGAAGGGAGCGTGATATCCGAAATCTGTAAACGATAAAATCTTCGTATCGATAAACTGTATATACACAGAAAGTCTGAAGTCTCTAGGGCTAAAAGTGTTCAAATTAGGCTGAAAAAAAAATCAATTATTCTCGATAAAAAAGTTATCGGATGCGTTATCGCATAAATATGATAAACTTGTACTGCGTATACATGCAAAATTTCAGCTCTCTAGCTCCTTTAACTTCTACGGACGGACGGACGAACGGACGAACGGACGGACAGACGGACAGGGCTATATCGACTCAGCTCGTCGTGCTGATCAAGAATATATATACTTTGTGGGGTCTGCGATGATTCCTTCTGCCCGTTACATACTTTTCAACAAAACCATTATACCCTGATTTCCCATTTTAAATGGGTTCAGGGTATAACAAGTAAGAAAGCTATAGTCGAGACTGCTCGACTACGAGATCCCCTGAACCTTTGGAGCAATAGCTATTTCAATAATTTTTCGCGTCTTTCAGCTTACACAAGGAACACGCACACACACAACACACACACACACACACGCATACAGACAGACAGACAGGGCCAAATCAACTCAGCTCGTCGCCCTGATCAAGAATATATATATAAACAGAAGTATTCCTTACCTTATCGAAAGCTAGTTGTTTAATTATATCTCCTACACCTTTAGAGCTAGAGCTTCCAAATTTTAAATGTAGGCTTATATATATTTTATACAATTTCGATTTTCGTTTCAATTTACCCCCCACTCCTATTTCTACCCCCTCACCTTCACCTTTGTAAAAAGCGTATTTCAAATACTAGAGACTTGTGCTTTTACTTGTATACTTGTATATCCGTATTATGATCATAATGTGAAAGTTTCATGAAGATCGTATGTCCACAAAAAAAGTTATTAAGCAATTAAGTTCTCATAGTAAGCGCACACTGCAGCCAATGCGTGTTTAGGCGTGGGTTCTTGTGTGCGTGTATGCTCGTATGTGTGTGTGTGCGTGTTTCTTGCGTAAGCAGAAAGACGGGAAAAATGATTGAAACAGCTATTGCTCGAAGGGTTCAGGGGATCTCGTAGTCGAGTAGCCTCCACTAGAGCTTTCTTACTTGTTGTTTTGTTTATTCTAATATTCTATTTGTATATTTATTTATATTTTCAAGGATTATCCTATTGCTCTTATATATCGTAGTTTTACTGTATAGTGATAGCTTGTTTTTCGGAGCAAGAAGCCATGTCATATTTCTGGCTCTCGCCATTACCGACTGCCTTATCATGGTAGTATGGGCCTTTAAATTTAGTTTCCTGTCCAGTAGGATACTTATATGACCCTTTTTTGTGGGATTGTGGAGCCCAGCATACTAATGTCACTACAAGACAAGGTTTTTTTGGTAAACGTGACATTTACGCACTTGCTGGTGTTGATGCCTATGTTCCGTTTTCTAGCCCATCCTTTAAAGCTATTTACGTACTGTTGCAAGGATTCCGTGGCTATGTTTATGCTAGGACTTCTGGTCAAAGCTGCAGTGTCATCTGCGTAGGCTTCTATCAAGACATGTTCCTCATCTAGTCCAGTAACTACATGTATGGTCGGCATATCAGCTGTGTATAGGTTGTACAGCGTAGGTCCAAGCACGCTACCCTGTGGGACACCTGTGCAAACTGAGCATTTCGAGGACTTTTCTCCATTCACAACAACTCTGAAGTATCTATCCGTGAGGAAGCTTGTAACAAGCTGAAATAGCTGCGGTGGTAAAATGTTCTTCAGTTTAAATCGGAGACCACACCCTGTCCAAAGCTTGTCGGATGTCCATAAAAACAGCAGCCGCATATATTTTTTGTTCTATAGCGTCGAGGGAGAAGTTGACTACACGATGAAATTGTTCCGGCGTGCCGTGCCCTTGTCTGAATCCGAACTGCCAATTCAGTATTTTTTGCTTTACAGGCTCGAGCTGTAAGATACGATCAAGGATCACACACTCTGTCATCTTCCCTAGCGCTGAGAGCAGGCTGATTGGAAGAAATCCTTCAACTTCTGTGTGGTCTTTTCCAGGTTTGGGTACCATCGCGATCAACGCCATCTTCCAGCAGGTTGGGAAGTGTCTCAGTCTAAGCATACTGTTGAGGATTAGGACTATATACAGTAGCGCTTTTTTAGTTAGTAGGTTTAAAGTTCTGTTATCCAGCAAGTCCCCCCAGGAGATTTTTTGGTTTTCAGTTTATTAATTTGCTGCACAATCTCTTGGAGAGTGACTGGAATTGCAGGCAGTGTCATCTGAAAAGGCGTCTCCAAACATAACTCTACATCTCCTCTTGTGCTGTCAGAAGTAAGATTAAATGGCTTAAATCTTTTCTCTAACCTGTCTGCAAAGATTTCGGCCTTCTGTTGACTGGAATAACACAAGCCATCCGATGGATTTTTAATTGGCATTTTCGGTATGGCGACCCTTTTAATCCAACTTGTAAGTTTCCAGTGTGTGTAATTGAAAGATATTCCATCAATTTTCTTCTGCTTGACTTTTGCAAGGACCTTTTGCAGCCGGTTTGATAGCCTAGCGTAGATCTGATGGACTCGAGTATCCCCGGTTCTTTAATACTCTCTTCTTACCCTTCTTTTAAGTCTTATGAGGGCGTCAGCATATGGGGGGAGAATATCTCTTCGATGTTGGATTTGTGGGCATTGGGTTACTGGAGTAGCAGAAGATGAGCTAAAGAAACGTTTCTCATGAAGATTGAGATTGCATTTTCAATATCATCCGGACTGTTTATTTCCATGTTGAGATTTGTTCTGCTAGACAGTTCAGTTTGAAAAACTTCTACACAAGAACCTCTAGATTTGTTTTGGCGAGCAGTATGCACTGTTGCTATGATAGGCAAATGACCCGGGGAGAGCTCATACCTAATTGCGGAGATGAAACCACCATGGGTCAATATACTCACACTGGCAGCTTGTATGTTCAGTCTAGAGATAGATTCGTTTTGCACATGAGAAATGATCGATCGAATGAATAGAGCAGATCCGCTTTTCTTTGTTCCACTGGGGTGAGCAGCATAATATTGGTCATAACCTGGCAGGAATACTGACAAGCCAGGTCGCATGTGCGTCTCAATAATCAGCATTATATCGATTGTGTTGGCACTTAGGAAAAGTTGTAGCTCTTCAATGTTCTTCGCTAAACCTCTTGCATTCGACAATCCAATTTTTATTTGTGGACTTTTCATTTTGAAATTAGTTTTAGAGCCAAGTCACGAAAGGCTTTGTTTGCCTCAATCGAATCCTGCATTAATTGTTCCATTCTGTTGTTTAGTTGGAATATAGCTTTTTCGAGCTCTTTGAATTTGCTCTCAAACTGTTCATACACAGTACTACCTTTCATCTGGGAGCTGACGAGTGCTGCGTTCGTATTAATATGTTTCGTCCCACGCTGTCTCGTTAT